GTAAAAAAAAACATTATTTTCCACATACTGTACATTATTGTTTTTTAAGCTAAACTTGAAATTGTAAGAAAAATATATATATATATTCATCATTGTTAAATGAAGAAAATAAATCTATCAGATGAAATGAGTTTTGATTTGAGATCAAAATTAATGGATACTATTGGTTGTGGGCACATAGTGCAACCTGGAAGAAACAAGGAAGCTGATTGGCCATTGAAACTTCACATGTTAAATAGAACCAGGTGTGCTTGTTTGATTATCAGTGTGCAGAGGGATCTCTGTTGGCGAAGTGAATGTGCTTCTCCTACCCAAGTTGGTGTTGATACTGGTTATAAAACCAAAGGAGAAAGATTGTTAAAGCATGCACGGATGTAAACCACATGCTGAGTTTGTTCAAAGACAGCTGGGAAAAGCCACAATGTGTTCATCAACTTTGAGACGCTACTGGTAGGATAAAGACTAATTTCTTTAGTGACTACAGACTGTTTAAAAGACCAATTGTGAATGTCTTGCAAGTTGTTTCTTAATGCTAGCGGGTTTAGCATCTAATATGCTAACTGGACATGTGCAGTAAATGCATTTGATTTAGTGTTGCTGTTGAACCGCTATGTACTGTACTTTGTGATCTGAGAGTATTCTAGTAGCATTGGTTGTAGCTTAAATGAGTTAAACTTACTTAAATGACCGCATTACTGTGTGTAGTGACTCATATATTTATATATTTTCTCTGTATAGGTTATTAAGCTAAGCATCTGAGCTAAGCATCTGAATTTAACTCTGAAAATAAGCAAAGGAAGATCCCGTTGTTGCTGAAAGATTTTCAATAAATTGCTTCGATGACGACGAATCAGATGTTTTGAGTTATTCCATGCACCCTGATTGAAGCCTTTTTCAAGTTTGGGCAGACATTGAGGCTGAGAAGAATACCTAAATAACTTGACGTTGTTGCTCTTCTATGCCCCGCCTTTCTGAAATGTGCCGATTTTTATCTCATCAGTCTGAAAAGCGAGGTGTATGCTGATTGGCCAGTTATCCAGTGCATTGTGATTAGCCGAATACCTCAAGCATGTGTCAGAAGTGCCAGACTGTCCTTGCAAAGTTGGAACTGTGCCCCACTTTATAGAAACAGCCTTTGTGTGTAGACGGCATTGTAGGCTACTTTCCCAGGTTCAGGAAACAGTCCTCAATAAAAAATGTGCTGCACACATCTGAATATTTGGGTTGAACTATTCTGGAACAGTGTTGTAAATACAACTTAACCACTGATTTCTAGTTGTGTCCCCTTTTGGAAGGCCAAACAGAGCTTTCACACCGAAACACACAGCGTCTCCACGACATGGCAGCGGCAGCAACAATACTACAGCGAGAATCAAAGTTAAGCATTCTTTCTTTGCTTGAATATTTGGGTGGTGTTATGCAAATCTTCCCACACAGTGACGTAGACATGTGGGGGCATGTTTAAACGAGGCGTTTTAGGGGGGCATGGTCTAGTCTTAACTTTTATAACGAATATCTCTTTGGGTTTGAGACTTTAGTCTTTGCAACTTCAGGGATCTTAACTATGCACGAACAGCTTGTAACACTCCAAAGAGAAAGGAAAACTTGAAAACGCATCATATGAACCCTTTAACTCTTAGTGGAGGCACCTTTGGAATATCGATTACAGCCTAGTCTTTTTTGTATGACACAATAAGCTTTGCACACCTGCATTTGGGGATTTCCCACCACTCTTCTCTGCAAAGCCTATGATAATATGACGTAGCCTAAATATTCTATACATGCTAATCCCTACTGGCTAATTCTGTTTCTCAAATGCATGTATGAATTTGATTTGAATAAGTAAATTGATTGATGTCTGAGAAAATCACAACTCATGTTTATTGCAAAGGGCATCTAAACTTAACAAAAACCCATATATATTCTCAAAACCTCAAGTGATCTTCAGGATCTGTTGCCTTGACAACAACCCAAGAGCATTTATAAATGCCTAATATTTTTACACACCTCAGTAACTCCAGT